GAAACAATCGTCTATTTTTTCGTTATTTATATATTGGTTTTATTTTGCCCATCTTTCACAACTCTATGCTTCTAAATGTAATTTAATCTAACTAAAGCTATTCACTAAATTAAAATATAAAAATAATGTAAAACCGTCTAATAAATCGAACTGTGTTATAACAATATCTCACAATGCAGCAAGAAAAACAAATACGATTCTGGTTTCCCTAATTTAGGTAACTCTGACTCACTCAATGATGAACGTCGGCAGCCGTGGCAGGATTTTTCGGTTCCTTTGTCTCCTCAACTTCGCGCGTTAGAGTTTAGAATATGTATCCCTCGTATCTACATGCAATTGGTAAAATTATGAATGAATGCGGATTTTGTTTAGTCTCGGAAGTAAGTTTGTTGTATTTAGGCTCTACCCTCAAGTTGTAATTTTTATACCTACTAAACTACCGTTGCCCCGCAGGTCTTTCCTCTTAACATTTTTTATATTTGCCGATTAATAGTTTTGTATCATGTGATTTTTTTTACTTTTTTAGATACTTTCGATAACTTTGTTATTCATTGAAGTTAATAGAAATATTCCATCCACAAAAAAAACCATTGCCAAGAGCTGTCTAAAAAATAAATTTTTCTCACTTTTTTTCCAATAAGATAAAAGAAGACAAACATACCTGCCGTAATTCAAGGGAAATTTCTACCTGTTACGATGAGCATAGTTGACTCACCTGGTTTTTATTTTAAAACAGAGTACGCAATATATATGTATTCAATTTTTTCTATGGTTGTTAATTCTTTTCCACTATGATTATTTAATAGTAATATTCATTTTTTAAGAAAATTTTTACATAAAATTATAGTTTGTACAATTGTACATCTAACTAGTTTTTACATGTAATTGATTTTGGCAACATTCAATTAAACATCCGCATGTTTAGTTTTTGACATGAACAAGCTTTCGTTGCACAATTTTTTTACAGTTGCACGGTTTTGCTAAGTCTTCAGGTAATGGCAGTTTTATTAAATACAGTGGCTTTATTTGGTTATCACAGAAAACATAACCAAAACCAGATAAATCTAAAGGTTCATATTTAAATTAATGGGCCCGTTCACTTTCATTTTTGAATGTAAATTAATTATATATTTATAAAGATATTAAACTCTTTTGTCTGGTGGTACTTTTCCCGTTGATATATTTTTGCTAGAAGTAAGGGAATTCCCATAAAATTCTTTCAGTGACTCATTGCGTCAGAAAACCCCTAATTCTTTTCAGGTCTCGTATCGGTTAATAGTTAAAAGGGCGCGGTTGTCGGATGTATCATTGCACCACCATTCCTCTTCTGCATTTATTAAAGAAATTTACATGATAAAAATATATTATTTTTTAAAAATAATGTGTTTATATTTTCAGATAAAGCTGGAAGCCTTACCTTTTTTAAATTTTAATAAAAACAATTAGTATTACTCAAGCTGAATATTACCAGATCGAAATTTTATTTGAGAAAATGTATCTGGTAAACGTGACAACGTTGTAAGTACTTCTAAATAGTGTTGTCTACACACACTTCTAGAAATAAATGCAACGTTGCCACGTTTACCAGATAAATATTGCAAATCAAATTTCTACTTTTTGATTATGGTCTGGTTAATTTTCAGCCTGAGTAATAATAATTGTTTTAATTAAAAAGTAAAAAATATGCTCCCAGCTTTAAATCTGAAAATAAAAGTTCATGATTTTTAGAAAAATAATGGAATTTTACTATTTAAATTACATATATAAATGCAGAAATGCTATATTAGGGTTACTTCCGACAACCCCGCCGTCTTTAAGCATAACCGATACGAGACGTGAACGGAATTAGGGATTTTCTGACGCAATGAGTCACTGAAAGAATTTTATGGGAATTCCCTTACTTCTAGCAAAAATATCTTGACGGGAAAAGTACCACCAGACAAAAGAGTTTAATATCTTTATAAATATATAATTAATTCACATTCAAAAATTAAAGTGAACGGGCCCATTTGAATTCCTCCTAATATAAGTCTGAAACGAAGCTTCCGACGTGCATGGAAAAAATTTGTTTTGCTTATTTTTGCTAAATGGAGAAAGGCTTGGATATTTTTGAAATCATAAAATTTTATAACCCCAGTAAGCCTACTATGTTCATTGTAACAGGTAGTAATTTTTCACGGATCACGACAAGTGCATTTGGCCTTTTTATCGTATTGAAAAAAAAAAAGGTTGAAGAAGATTTTACTTCTCAGGCAGTATCTGACAATAATTTTTTCATGAATAAAAATAAATGTTAAAAATAAATGTTTCTGTTAAATTTAATAAATAAAAAAGTTATCAAAAGTATCTAAAAAAGTAAAAAAAATCACATGATACAAAACTATTAATCGGCAAATATAACAAAGTGTTATGAAAAATGTTAATAATTTTTTTAAACTTATTACCTCTGAAAAACAGCAAAAAATTGATTCAGCGCGTCATCGGGCTTTCTCTTACCCATCTTATACATTGAGTTGGAAGTGAGATAGAAGTACTTCTCTCTAAAAGTACACGTGCGTAGGAAGCATATTGTTATAACGTAAAAAAAACATAACAACAAACAGAATTTTGAAAATTTATTTAGGTTATTTTGTTTATTATAGTTTGAATATTCGGTAAAAAATTTAAAATTATAGCATTTTAAATTTTAAGGTATATTATTTAATTCAAGAAAATTAGAATTTTCCTCAATTTCGGATTTTAAAACATTCATAACAATTAATGGGTTACAGATACGATGATGGGCGTAAGTAAGGACTTTTTTTATTCGAAATATCCTAAATAATATAAAAAAAATAATTAATTGCAAAAAATGCATTTTTTCGGGCTTAATTAATTTTTCGTTGTTTAAACAATAACATCAACAGATATCGTGTGTCATCTTACACTTTTATAATCAGGAAAGCCTTCCGGACATTAAATAAAAAAAAATTACGAATTAAAACAATTTTGCAAACGAATGCGCCACTATGCCCTGCACTAATTGTCACTTAGTGAAGAATTTGAAGTAGCATCAAGTGAATGTTTTATAGAAAGAGACCATTGCAGTTTACAGGGCTGGAAATGGAGACTTTTATGAGTTTTTAAATAATCTTGAACAGCTTTTGACATATGTTTATAATTATAATAAATTAGTGGTTATTTTAGGTGACTTTAACATAGATTTAATGGATCATACTGCTCAGGTAATAAAAGTTCAGTTAAGTGATAATGTCAATACGGTTTATCACACTTATCGTAGACATTTTATAGAGGAAAACATACAAAAATTCCTTTTAGAGCTAAACTGGGAAGAGATAGTCAATGTAAATAGCATGCAAATAGAAAAACAGTGGGATTTATTCATTAATATATATTTAGAGCAGTATAATAAAAATTTTACATTAAATTCTGTTACTATAAGGAAAATACACAAAAAATATCAGCTAATTCAAGACATTATTAATATAAAAAACCAGCTTGATATAATACTACTTTTAGCTAGTAACAATAACATATATAAGGTTCCATACAAATTATTAAAAGAAACAGGTGAATAAAAAAGATGGTTACGATAAAAGAATACAATTATCTGACAATAAAACTAAATGTTTATGGGGAATATGTAAAGAAATTACTGGAAAGGGTGACAAAGAAAATATTGTGAGTCATGGCAATAAGGGAAAGCATTTTCAATCGGGAAAAAATAATACCACAGTAGGGATTCCACAAGGAAGCATTATGGGATCGCTATTATTTATAATTTACTTAATTGACTTATCATCAGTACCAACTAACTCAAAATAAATAATAACAAATTATGTAGATGACTCCAACCTACGAGTTGGAGGGAAAACAATACCAGAGGCCGTGATCAATGGCAATTTACTTTTGCAAAGAACAAAGGAATGGTTTTCACAAAACAAGCTGGTACTGAATGCAGAGAAAACTCAATTAATATTATTCAAATCCAAATATAGGCAAATAGACCAAAGAATGTTTCTTTGTGCAATCAGGAGCTGGATTTAAGAAATAGCACAAAATTTCTTGGAGTCTATCTGGACGAATAACTTAGCTGGTTAGATAACCTTTCTATTAAGTAGGTTAGCATATGGGTTTCGAATTGCCAGTAAATTTTTGCACAAAAAATCTGGTAAAATAATTTACTCGGGTAGTTTTGAAGCGGTATAAATATGGCATATTGTTTTGGGGCGGAAGCTTAGAAGTTACAAGAATTTTTGTAATACAAAAAAAGTGTTAAGAACTATAAACAAAATTAGTTTCAGAGAATCATGTAGTAAATCATTATGTAGTAAATTTGTGACGTCATTTCACTATAATGTTAATTATGTTTATACATTGTCCGCATTATTTTTGGAAATAAATATTATTATCATCAAAAGCCTTTCCAACTTATGTCTCTGCTTTAAAACATTATTTCTAAGTCTAAATAGATTATTAACCAGGCGGATTCGTCCGGTTGCAGTCCCTAACTCTATATCTGCGTTTGGGGATATATCCCGGCTAGTCTTACTGAAACATGTATCTTTTGCGTGTTTATCCGGTGCCGGTACTGAAAGGGTTAACATAAGGCCCAAAAGCGCACAAAGGCTTTCAAAATTACATTTACATTCTTAATGCCATTTATTGTCTGTTTAATGTTTTTTTACAGTGCGGCAATGGTGTAATGCAGGACTCATAGTTGAACGATCTGGTTCATTCATACAACACCTGTTCACACAAAGCATTCCCTCTTAAATTAACAGACGTTTTGCCCTTTCTAACGCGGCAGCTCTGTCTGCCTAACATAATCTGAATTCTTACAATAAATAAGGGCTTAATTATTAATAAATGAATTAGTCTAGTAGTTTTTGTCATTGATATAAAATTAATTACATTACACAGTGCTTTAGTGAGAACCAGATTCTAAACTAACTACCTAAACTGTTCATCATGTATACCCATGACTTTAACTGTTTTAGATTAAAATTAAAGGTAGAAAATACAATGAGGTGGCGAGAAGTTGTGGATGATGATGGAAATGTGAAAAAAGAATCAAATGCAAGAATGGTTAAATGGTCAGATGGTTCATACAGTTTACACTTAGGATCTGAAATTTTTGATGTGTATAAACAGCCTCTTCAGGTAATATGAGATTATTAGCAAATCATTAGCCAATAATTTGGGAACTATTTGAACATTTCTATGGTGTTGAATTGAATTTCTTTCAAAGCAAATATAAAAAATATTTCATCCACATTTTTTATATGCATCCTTTAAAAGGAATTTTAATCTTCAAATTTTTTTATCTAGTTGATATCAGATTGGGTAATCAGGGGAACACGATGTTGAAAAATTGAGGAATATCAGCAATTTGGATTTGTCAGGGTGATTTGGCAAATAACTTCATAAAAGAATAATGGGGCATGTTCAAAAATTTTGAAATTTTTTTTATGAATAATAGAGTTGAAAATAAAATTACATTTTTTTTATTTTTTTTTTATCTATTCATTTGCCGGAGTTATGAATTTTTTTAAAATTTATGACGTCACCGGGAATAGACCAATAGGAGCTAGCGCACAACGTTGCCGGCTAGAAGGTTTACGAGAAGTGATGTACGTTCGTTTGTGTACTCCTTCTTACTTTTAGACTTCTAAAACATCGTTAAACAAATATCTTTTAAATATATAATATCAAATGTTTTTTTAAAGTATTATTTCTGTTTAAACTTTTACCATATTTAAGGTTTCATTGTTTTAAAAGTCACTTAATAATTCAGAAAATGGCAAAATGGCAGCACTGTGTATGGCATCTGTCATCATAGTGTCTCCATCAAGAATTTATTTGGAATTTGATTGTTTAATTTTGTACTTTTTATAAATATTATGACTACGAAAAAGTGTTTTGTTCCAGAATGTGATAATGATTCACATTCATCTTCAAAAATATTTATTAGTGTTCCTAGAAATTTGGAAAGAAGAAAATCAACCTTCTACTAGCGATGTTTCTCGTGAACTTTTTAATAAAAATACACCGGATTATCAAGATGTAGCAGCAATTTCTGCTAATTGTCCCCTTCAGGAAATTGAAAATAAGGATACTATAAATTCTTAGGTGTATAACCTAAAAACCCTTCTGGAAGAAAATGCAGAATCTCCTGAAAGTTTTGAAGATACCGAATTTATTCATCATTTTGTGGAAGAACTAGTGATAAAGAAATAATGGAAAAATGTGGGTATTTAAACAAACTGGTTCCTGGATCCCATATAATGGCAGATAGGGGTTTCAGAATAATCAGCTACTTGAAAACATGGGATACACTTTAGTAAAGCCACACCTAGTGTATCACAGAATGAAAAAACTTCTCAAGAAGATGTACAATTAAGTAAAAGAATAGCATCTCTAAGAATACATGTGGAAAGAGTTATAAGAAGGGTTAGTTAATTTAACATGTTAAAACCACATTCGTGTGTGAATTTTAAGCAAGTACATTTACTTAGTAATATCTGCATAATTGCTTGTTAACTTACAAGAACCTATTTTGTAAGAGTAAATATTAATTTAATAAACTTTTTTGTTTTTTAATTTAATTTACCTAATTATCACATTTCAGGGATTATAATGAGTTTTTAAACAGCCAATGTAATTTTTGATAAAAATTTAACTTTTCAAGCAAATTGAAGAGGAATGAGTACCTGTATATGCATAGATTTGTTTGGGACTGAAACTACCAAAACAAAGGCACCTATTTACAGCAATTTAAAATGAAACATTTTAACAAAAACGCCTATGTCACAGTGATAAATATTAAAAACCAAGTTCAGTTGAATGTGGTAGCAAAGTCTATATATTCCAATAAATCGGGTAACTACATGTGGTATCACTGGTGATAAATTTAAAAATATCACAGTTCTTGCCACCTTTTTCAAAAAACCAGAAAGTGTGCCTTCTTATGAAAATGACAACAGTGATAAATGTGAAAAAAAATTTCATGTTGCTATTCGTTATTACGATAGTAAAACATGTTTGCAGTTCCGTTTATTTTTTATGAAAATCTAAGTAAAAACAACCAATGTCAAAGGGTTTTAATTTTTTTTCTGTCAAACCAAATATATCACAAAATTAAAAATTGATCATAGGTCAAGCTAAAGTAATACCTTTATTAATAGTAGCTTTAAAAAAGGAGAAAGAATAATATTGACTTAAGTTATTATTATTAACATTGGTGATTTTTAATAAAAACTTCAATTATTGTTTACAAACAAAAATATAAAAATCTGTGAAAATTTTATTTATTAACCTTTTAATAAAAAATGAGAAAAATGAAGTAAAAAAACAATTTATTTACAAATAAAAAATATATACAAATCCTAAGAATATAAAAGTACTGATTTATTTTCCTGTAGTGGATGAAGAGGTTTCTTTAACAATCTAGCCAAGTGTACATCATTATCAATAACACTGAGTAGATGTTACAGATGGTTCCTCACTTCTTCTATGAAGCCACATGTTTACAACCTCCTGAAAAAAATAAAAGGGTTAGATATGCAGTTACAAAATAACTATATAACCAGCTACAAAATGCCTTATTTTATGTAACAAGACGAGCACTTTACTAGCTCTGAACGAATCCAGTAAAGAACCTCTGATTTTCAAAACTTAAAAAAAACAAGCTCACCACATTTTCACATTTTTGAAATATTATAGAGCTTTTCGAAAAAACTGCTATTTTTAAAAGTACCATTTTTGTTTAAACAGCTATGTCTCATTTTAGGCTATTGAGTATTATAAAATAAAAAATTACGGGATGCTTTGTTAGCTTCAAACGAATCCAGCAGAGCACCCCAGTTTTTTTTTAAACCACACCACATTTTTTGGCTCCTACAATATTATAAAATATTCGAAATTTGACATTTTTAAAAAAAATTCGCAATTCCCTGACTTCAAAGTTTTTTTTCTGAAAACAAATATACTTACCACATTTTTAGGATTTTAAAACAGCCTAAACATGTGTCATAAGTAGTTGTTTTTATATATTAAAAAACTGAAGTGTCCTGCTGACTTTGTTCCAACAAAGCACCCTGTATTATTTAAAAATAGCAATTTTTTTAGTAAAGTTTTACAATATTTCAAGAGTCTAAAAATGGGGTGTGGTTTTTAGAAAAAAGCTTTAAAAAACCGAATTGCTCTGCTGGCTTCTTTCGAAGGTTAGCAAGCACCATGTATTTTTTAAAAATATAATATTTCAAGTGCATAAATATATGGTGTTGCTGTTTTTACAGAAAAAACTTTATAAAACAGAGGTGCTTTGCTGACTTCGTTCGAAGCTATCAGAGCATTTTAAGTTTTGCATAAAATTTTTGAAAAGGGTATAAAAATAGTCTAAAAATATGGCATGTTTTAACTCAAAATTTCATAGGTGCTCTGCAGCATTCTTTGGTATCATAATTATTACTAGGTTCACTAACAAAATCTATTTCTAGATTATTTTAACACTTGCTGCGATTACAAAAAATGTCTCTTTATGTCAAAATTAGAAAAAAAAATATTTATAAGAATAAAGGGCCTTATACACTGTTTATTATATGTGATATAAAAACAAAAAGCATAATAAATATTACAAACCTTGAGATTCAACATATCCTAAGCATTGTGCACTAAAAAACAGCCACATCATAAGGTTTTTGCTGTACTTTATGTTTAGGTGTAATTTGTCTCCTTCTCTCTTATGGAAAAAGTAAATATCTCCATATTCTTGCTTGGCAGATCTAAAAATAAAACCTGAGATAAATATGTTTTACTATAAAGTGTACTGCTTCATATAAACTGTAACTACCTACCATTAAAACAATTTATAAATAAAGTTTTACCTTTCTATCTTTTGGAAACTGAGTATTGTTAAAAAATGCAGTAATCATCTCGGTAATCATATTTTCGTTTACAATGGGAAAAATACTTGATTCAACTTTTATAAATACAGCTGATAAATTCATATTCTTCTTCCTTTATATATCCTATATCCCACAGGATAATTTACCCAGATAAATGCAGATTAATAATAAAATTAAACCAAAACAAAAAACTAAGGTTAGTTGTTAGGTGCTGTCAATTTTTAAATGTCACTTAGATGTGTGTTCACTTCGACATTCTGTATGTAGGTTTGTTCGTTGGCTTGGTTTTGTAAAACAAAAAAAACTTCGACACAAGCTGATTGGTCTATTCCCGATGACGTCTAATTTCAAATTTTAAATTTCAATTGGGCTTAATTTAAAAACTTTTAGCTTTTTTAACGAACTGATTATTTAGAATAACTTGTATAGCGACTAACTATTACAATATAGTTTATAAAACAGCATATCTCACATGTGAACATGGCCCATTTGGTATTTGATTCTTTTTCTATAAAATTCGATTTTGATGACTTAAAATGCTGTACAAACAAAAAAAAACAGGAAAAACCTAAAGTCAGACAAGTTCAAAAATGTTCCAATTAACTTTTGGGGGCTAACAAGAATATTATATGCAGATGCTTGGACTGGATAAAATTGGTAACACTTGCGATTTTTTCACGTTTATGTAAAACATTAGTGAACATATCTTTGCTAAATGGATCCCTCACTTATTACCAGAATATTTCTTTTACAAAACTAATGAAATTATCAATATTTTTTGCTGATATTTTTATAAATATGGTCTCCCTTAAAAGTTTTATTTTTTATTGTAGGGTGACCATAACCACTTGTTCATTCGTCAAGGTACAGGTCTTCAGGGTCAAGCAGTATTTCGTACAAAGTTGAGTTTTAGACCTCACTCTACTGAGAGTTTCACTCACAGAAAGATGACGCTGTCTTTAGCCGACAGATCTACGAAAACCACTGGTATTAAAATTATGTCTCAAGTTGGTGTTGATCCCGATTTGGACAAAGCTACAAGGATAAAGGTAAGAAAACGTTTTTTTCTTAATCTTTAAGTGATTTTTGTTTTCTTAATATTTTAGAAAGAAGAAGAGAAATTAAAACAGACACCTGTCAAACAAAAACCAACGAGAAAGAAAACCGATAATGCCGCTAGGTCACATGCTAGTAGTTTTACGAGAGAAGAAGAGGGAAGTGAAGATGAAGGTGCAATTTCTTTGAATGCCATCAAAAGCAAATATAAGGGTGGTGGAAACGTATCTAAAGGTAAACAGCTAAAAATATCCTTGATTGTGATCAAATACATATATCTTTTTACTTCTAGGTGGAGCCATTTATTCATCTGATGAAGAAGGTTCAGATATTGAAAATAGTCGTACAAAAAAGAAGGGTAAATTAGGAAACGCTCTTAAAGATTCTGATGATGACGATGCAGAGGAAGAAGACGAAAATAGTGAAAGTGAATAGAATGGATTGTAATTATAAGAAGAAAAAAAACGTTTTAAATTTAAGAAGTTTGAAAATAAATTATTTTTAATTTAATGTATTTCTACATTTTTTATATACATAATTTGAGAGGTAGGTAAATAGAGACGTTTTTATTATTATTTTTTTTTTATTCACACATTCCTATTCAACAAAAATATAAAATAGTGCAATACTTAAATACAAATATAATGGAATATGAGAGTATCGGAGTTGTATTATAACATAGTTACAAGTATTAATCTTCTCCAGCAGGCATAGCATCTTCTAATCTTCTAATAAATTTGACCCTTATTTCTGTATTTTGGTCACCTTTTAGTTGATCCTACAAAAAAATCCATTCTTATACAGATACATATCAAATCAAAATAGTTTTATTGTACAAAGATTTACATCTCATTGACAAAGCAAATAGCATAAAAAGGAAAACAATGTAAAATATATGTTTAAAAGACAAAAAATAGATAAAAACTTAAGAGTATAGTAATACATAGATAAAATAAAACAACGATTAGTCACAACAATGTTGCTTAGTCTTATTTTATTGATTAATTAATTTCAGTCCAAATTTACAAGTAATTTCTATATCTTAGTCTTTTGATTGCGCAAGTCGTGCATGTGCGACCCTAGATAATTTGCATTTTCTCAGCACTGGAAGTAAGAGGTAACTGCTGTTGTCTCAGCGAAATTGTTAATTGATTCTACTAGTGAAAAATAAACCCCTTTAGATATTTCAAAGTTTGGACTCTTAGAAACTGTTCTTATTGTATGGCATCCCTACGTTGATGTGTGGGCAAATTTTAAATTCTGATCAATGCAAATTCCTAGAAGTTAGAGTTTTTATGTTTTTTTGACCGAGAACAACATCTCATATATTACGCCATCAGCAAAAATACAGAGTGAGGTACACCACTGTCAACAATCTGAGGTATCATTCTTAACCACTACACAAATATCTTTTTGACATGACAATCGAAGGGGTAAGTGGATGAAAGGGTTATGTTAAAAAAAAAGTTTTTGAGCATTTAACTATTTAATTAGATTCATTGGCATTTTAAGTGAAAAATGTCTTTAAAATGCGTTTTTGTGAGTTAGTAAGAGTGATTATGAACTAATTAGACGCACAAGACCAGACCAAAGCAAGACACATATGAACTTAATTAATTCTTCATCAACAAAAAAAAAATAGGATTAAAAATGTTACATAACCCCTTTATCCACTTACCCCTTCAATCATTACAAAGCTCTTTTCTCTGAAACCATATTTTTTCAATTTAATATTATGTGATTTACAGAGTTAAATGCTTTAGATAAATCACAATACCGCTGCAGAAACCGATTTTTCATTAAGCTGCATATTGTCCCTAAACAAAGGGGGCATAAATATTAATTAAAATTAAAAATCGTAAACACCACTATAATCGTATGAATAATATTGAATACAAAAACACAAGTAATGACGTAGCGAGTGGCCAGTAATTCTGCGCAGAGAGATCGACCACGTTGATTGTACTTTTCTGAATGCCATGTGAAACACCAACAAGATGCCGACGAAAAGCCCGGGTATTCACGCATCGTCATCAATACGTGCTTATCTCCCTGACCAGAGGCGACTTTAGGTAATATTGCTAACAATATATAGTTTCTCTAAATAAAATAAGCAAATATTTATTTAGGAAATCAATCATTTCAAAAGGAAAGACTTGTATTTCGTGCAAAACTTTTTAATTAATAAATGCAAAGCGCTTTCGGCATTGTGCCATCATCAGTGCTTATTGTCCACAAGCATATCCAACAAGTTCTTAGTCATCCTCGCTCCCAAAATTAGATATTTCAGGATATTCACAACTTACTAAATCATAATTATTACTATTAGTAATATTTTCAAATTTAAATTTCTTTATACCGTGTCAATAAGCAATTCATTGGATCATAAGACATAAATTTAAGGCTACTGAACAATAGTAGTTGTCTATTTCATTAGTAGTTACTATAATATTGATAGGATTACTATTTTTCCCTCATGACCTATTAACTAGAGACCAAAATTCTTTTTGCATATTACTGATGTTTTCAATTCTTTTTTTATAGTAGAGCCGATTTGCTGGCGTAATTGTAGATCTATATATAGAACTATTAAGAATATGTTTATAATCTTTAACATATTTCTTAATTTCATAAAAACAATGCCTACTTTTTGCTGAGGGGTGTACACAAGAATTCCTAACATAAAGAATACCTGAGAATTCCCGGAAATACCCAATAATTTCCGGGAATACCTAATAATTTCCGGGAATACCCAATAATTCCCGGGAATTTCCAAATTTTTTTGCACTACATTTTTGTTTTAGTATCACTAACATTCTAGAAAGTAAAGTTTTTCAAAATATTTCCTTCTACAGAAGTGGCCTCAGCTTCACTTTCTGAGGTAATATTTTGAAAAGTTCTTGACCTTCAATTATGTTATCACTTTATTTTAAGTTTTCATTTATACTTAAATCATCATCCGAGTCACTGTCAGAATGAACATTTTCTTTGCCTTCTTCTTAACATTTTATGTACTCTATATTTTTCCAACTGTCTTTATATACCAACATATTTAAATTTTGACAAGACATTTTAACAACATTTAGAGCATCATTAACACATTTTTCAATAGCTGTTTTATTTAAAAATTCGTTTAAGTTTGGGTCTAAATTATGTTTAAAATGGTTCTCTCTAGGGAAAATAAATGTGTCAGATAAATTTGTTATACAGTTGTTAATTTATTCTATCTTACTGGTTCTCTTAATTGTTTCTAACACACTGAAATTAACAAATGGTTCTGTTAATTATTTCTAACACAACGAAATTAACAACTGTTGAGAAAGTGGATATCATAGATAGATTTCATAGCTCTAAACAGTTTTTCACATGGTTGAGAACTAAATAGCCATGGTAAAAACATTTCTTATGAAGTATTTTCATCAATTTGTTTATTTTCTTTAAAAAAAATATTTTACTTTATAATAACATGTGCATTAAGTTCAACACATAAGTAGCTATTTAATGTTATAAAATTATTTGATAAACTCAGGTTTTCTTCAGAGATTATTCATTGCCTCCAAATTCGTAGAAAGAACACAGCATACCACATACAAAAAATTCTAGTATAAATCGAAACATTTTTATCCAAAAACGCCACTTTGATCTTGTCCATTAAATTTAAGTATTCGACGGTTCCTAGTGCATCAGAATGAGTTTTTTTAATAAATTTTGCACCATTTCAAAACACATCTTTTCTGCAGATTTATAATTCATTTTATCATTTAAATTAAGATCAGATGGTATTAGCAGATGTTTATGTTTGGTGAATCTTGTTATCAGATCAACTAAATCATTTTTTTAAACTTCAAAAGACCCTATTACCATTTTTTATTTGTTTTTATTTTCATTTTTTCTTTTCTTTGTTATTAAATTTCTCACTGGTGCCTTCGTCATTCTGGTTACGTTTAGGGTATGATTTTAGCAGTCTAATCCTGAATTTTGTCTTTATATTTACAGAATCTTAGTGCCCATTAAGAGGCATGTGAAACCAGTCCCATGTTTCACAAGATTGTTTATCAGTCTTTTGGAAATTTGACTTGATTCGCATGGCTTTTAATAAGTGGCTATCATCATCCGAGGAAAATCCAACTATTGTTTGATTACTTCTTTTTCTAAGAAATCTCATCTTTTAAGAATCTCTTCCTAAGTAAATCTATTTGTTCTAAACAAATTAAGTACAAATTAAGTTTTATTGTTGTGCCATAATAACATAGGCATACTTAGCTCGAGAATTTTAAAAATAACTTTGAATAGTAGGTATCTGCATTTGTGACAGGATATAAATTTTTTTTTGGAAAACCTATGACATTGAAGGGACTTACAAATCCAACTATGCTGTAATTTTCTTTATTGTATTGAACTTTGTAATTCTGGTTCCATCTTTGCTAATCCAAACATATAATGGCAAATTATAATTTTGGAGATATTCTCTTAACTCTTTCATAGGCATATCTGACTCAATAAACAATGGAAATTTTTGTATATACTTTTGAATTGTTGAAATTGATGGAAGTGAAGATTTCAAATTGGCAGCTAAAGTTTCATATGCTAATGGTAATTTCATTAACAAATGATCTAACACAATAATAATAATAATAATAAAAAATTGTTTATTGTCCAACAGGAAAAAATACAGGGTGCTTAAAAAAGTTATATTTTGATAAGTTTTTAAATATATCCTTACAGAAGGAATCATTTTTTAAAAATAAAAATACATTTTTAATTAACAATAATTTAGACTTTTTTTTTAAAGTTAAAATTTTTGTACAGTATACATTTTTAAATAAAATGTTCGTACTGTTATTAATTTTTCCAATAACTTTATTTTGCACCTTTCTTGTCCTTTATGAGGGTTATTTGGAGAACAATTTTTATAGAGTTTCCACTGAATACCTGAGAATACCGGGAATTCATAGGTATTCCCAGGGATTCTCTGGGAATACCTAATAATTCCCGGGAATACCCAGAGGTCCGTATTTATAAACAGAACTCAGCTGAGTCATCCTTGAACGAAAATCGAAGTTCGGTTAAATTGCATGAATTTAGAGATGGGTAATATCAAATCCGTAAATGTACTTAACAGTTACAGATTTGCTAATATCCATATCTAAATTCAAGTGTAACACCAGAACCACCTGGAACTTTAGACTTTGTAACTGAACTTCGATTTTAGTTCAAGGACGACTTATCCAAATCTGACTTAGTTGAGTTTTGTTTATAAATACGGACCTAAAAGATGTACACAAGAATTCCCAATGTAATTACCCCTAGCTTTTTGCCAATAGTCTTATTTTCTTATGCCCACATTCTCCAGTTTTTAACTTTACCATTTCTCTCAGGATAAACAGAGTTAAATATATTCAATAAGAGTTCATGGAAGTTCTGTACTGGTTTGTACATTTCCAGTCAACCCTAGATATCAATTGCTGGAATTTATAGTTATCACATTCATTAAATATTCTTTTGTGGTCTTTTTCTTAAGGAATGCTAAAATTTTATTCTATGCTAAATAGTCAATGTTTGATAAAAATAGGTTAGGGACTAAAAGAACTATATATTTTTGGAGTAAGTACCTGAATTATCCAACTTTGTACATCTAACTGGACCATCTCTAGAGCTCCCCTGATTGCTCCACATATAACATTACAATATTTTAAAGTCTTTATATCATCAGGCAGTTCAACAAGTTCTGTTAATGGATTGCTGTCCAAGATAAAAGAAAATTCATCCCCAGAGGGACTCCAATTTGTGACATTTGGTTGGATTCCTAGATACATTTTGAAAGCACTTTGTATTTTATCTGCAGTGTCTTTTAGATCTAAGCACCGCCCTGTTCCGGTTTTTGCTAAAAAATCTTCAATAAGCCTAATCCCCATATTGTAGCCAAGTCTTTCTAGCTGTTTGGATACATCATCAACATTATCCATATCTTTAATCATTTGGGCAACTAGTGCCCCATAAGTCAACGTTACTAATTCTGAGTTCTAGAAAAATGAGGAGATAAATACAATAACTAATTTTTATTTGTTACATACAACTTTCTTCACATCGAACCGCGTCGATGACCGAGACATGGTTGAGCTATATTATCTAAAATATTGAAAAATTTTCTATTAAATTTACGAAATAAGTAGCTGAAATAAGAAACTTCTTCAACTTTGGAAACGAAAATCACAGAAGAAAATAAACCTACTTTCTGTCAGTGTCACAGTGACACTGTTTTGTCACGTCGCCTGTCACTAATGTCAAATCAAATTTTTAAAAAACTATCACTTGTGGTTGTAACCTCTTCGTAATATTGGTTGACTATATAGTAGTGTAACGTTTTATTAATTTATTGAAAACACTTTATTTACAATTTATTTATAATGTACTAATATATTTATATAATACTTAGGCACTATTATAACTCACAATTCTAATTTATTTATTACAATTTATCTTTTTTGTCTAACACTGAAATAGACCCGTCCGTCGACAACTCGCGTTATTTATATAAAACCAGCTCTGTACCAGTAGTTTCTAGACGATCTCGAATTTCTAAGAATTCCATCTCTATGACTCAATGCCCACGTATCATTGATATTGTTGTTGCTCGGTTGTAACACCATATCTTGCTTTTCCGGCACCTTCATATGCACTCATAAATTCTTCAAAGATAAGGTCAGGTGTTTGTTGGAGCTGGTTTACTTCTTCCTCTGGTCACCCTCAAATGGCGCCAGCCGGTTTTGGTGCACTATCTTTGGTTTATCATTCGGGATCTTACTTATACGGTAAATTACATCATTGATTTTTTTTCTTAATGAGGTACGGACCTTCCCAAGACCTTTAAAGCTTCGCAGAATAACCCTTTTATATTCTTGGGTTATGAAGCCAGACTTTGTCACCTTCCTTGAAACATCCTTCAGTGGCTTGGATATCGTATCGCTTTTTTATTCTGTCGTTGGCGATTTGAAGATGCAAGCGAACTAATTCATGCATGTCGTCCATTTTTCTTCGTAACTGGATCACATAATCTTCTCCGGCTATGTCTTCTCTAGGTCGGCATCCAAACTCGAGGTCATACGTTAATCTCATCTCACTCCCGAGCAGCACCTTTGCTGGTATTTAGCCTGCAGATTCATTGACAGCGAATCTATATGTCATAGCGAAGAGCGAAAGATACTCATCCCAATCTCGCTGATGGTTGGAAACTGCTTTTGACAGGTATTTGCCAATGATCTTATTTATTCGCTTTATCATTCCATCTGTGGGTGCAAAGCGGAAGTTCTGGTTTTCTTCATGCCTACTCTATCACAAATTCCTCGAAAAAGCTGGCTTTCAAAATTTCTGCCTTGCTCACTGTGGATCTCCAGAGGCACTCCAAATCTACTAATGAATTCTTTTATTAATACGTCTGCAACAGTTGCGGCCTCTTGATTTGGAATGTTGTAGACTTCCACTCACTTCGTGACATAATCCATAACCACCGTCATGTATTTATTACCATTCTCGGTCATGGGGAATGGCCCAGCAATATCTAAGGCGATCCTCTCAAATGGGCTACCGACGTTGTACTGCTTAATGGGGGCCTTTCTTTTTCGTTGGGGTCCGTTACTCATTGCACAGGTGGTACATTTCTTAAACAGGAAAAATTTCAATTTTAGTGTGGTAAAATGCATTTACCCTCTGTTTACGGGATCAATAAAAATTTAATAGTATATTATTAAACGAGCAATTTATGGTAGCCATTATCCACGCAGGGTGACGTTTGCGTCCCGAGCCGTAAGCGAGGGGCGCAAGACACCCGAGTGAATAATGGCCATAAATTGCGAGTCTAATACTATACTTTGTCCACGACCATTATGGTTTCTTTATTAAACAAAAGTTAAGTGTATAATGGAAAGTTTTTATTAAACATAGGTAACTAACTGTTGTTTTTTCCACTTTTCAATTTTTCGATTTTCGATCTTTCGATTTTTCGATTTTTCGATTTTTCGATTTTTCAATTTTTTGATTTATCAATTTTTTGATTTTTCGATATAGATTTTCAATTTTTTGATTTATCAATTTTTTGATTTTTCGATATAGAAAATATCGTTATGAAAAGTATCGTCTATCTTTAGTTATCTACCGGAATGTGCCAGAATTACAAAAGCGTGAATTATCATAATTCACTCCGTGATATATGGGTACTATATGCTTTTAGTTAGGAGGTAGAATATTGATTTATTATTAAGTGGTCGTGGACAAAAAATATATTGCTAAAATTTATCATATTGTTACGCAGCACCCTGTAGCGTGCTGCGGTCGTCGTACGTAAAGGTACGAGTAAATAAAGAAGATGGAATAATCCATGTCTCGAAATGTCATTCCTTGTCAAAGAAAAGTCCGGATTGTTCGAGAAGGTTTTAGAAGGTCGAGGCTAGCTATATAAGTCGACGACCTGACGTCAGTTGGCAGTTTTATGATAGACGTTACATGTTAATGTTATTAGTTGGAGTTATTGTATCAGTTGAATTGAGTTATTGTAAAAGTTGAATTAATAATAAATTGAGATACCAAAAACCTGCGTAATAATATAAATAAATACCAATTGTTTGTTTCATTTAATTGTACCATAAACGTTGAAATGGTAATCTTAATAAAGTTCCATCTATTTACTAGTTATTAATAATAATACTCTCAATAATTCACCCCCTTGCGAGTGAATTTTAACCCCAAAAGCTGAGCTTGTGCGGGGAGAGGGACGGTTATTATTATTATTATAATTATTATTATTATTATTATTATTATTATTATTATTATTATTATTATTATTATTATTATTATTATTATTATTATTATTATTATTATTATTATTATTATTATTATTATTATTATTATTATTATTATTATTATTATTATTATTATTATTATTATTATTATTATTATTATTATTATTATTATTATTATTATTATTATTATTATTATTATTATTATTATTATTATTATTATTATTATTATTATTATTATTATTATTATTATTATTATTATTATTATTATTATTATTATTATTATTATTATTATTATTATTATTATTATTATTATTATTATTATTATTATTATTATTATTATTATTATTATTATTATTATTATTATTATTATTATTATTATTATTATTATTATTATTATTATTATTATTATTATTATTATTATTATTATTATTATTATTATTATTATTATTATTATTATTATTATTATTATTATTATTATTATTATTATTATTATTATTATTATTATTATTATTATTATTATTATTATTATTATTATTATTATTATTATTATTATTATTATTATTATTATTATTATTATTATTATTATTATTATTATTATTATTATTATTATTATTATTATTATTATTATTATTATTATTATTATTATTATTATTATTATTATTATTATTATTATTATTATTATTATTATTATTATTATTATTATTATTATTATTATTATTATTATTATTATTATTATTATTATTATTATTATTATTATTATTATTATTATTATTATTATTATTATTATTATTATTATTATTATTATTATTATTATTATTATTATTATTATTATTATTATTATTATTATTATTATTATTATTATTATTATTATTATTATTATTATTATTATTATTATTATTATTATTATTATTATTATTATTATTATTATTATTATTATTATTATTATTATTATTATTATTATTATTATTATTATTATTATTATTATTATTATTATTATTATTATTATTATTATTATTATTATTATTATTATTATTATTATTATTATTATTATTATTATTATTATTATTATTATTATTATTATTATTATTATTATTATTATTATTATTATTATTATTATTATTATTATTATTATTATTATTATTATTATTATTATTATTATTATTATTATTATTATTATTATTATTATTATTATTATTATTATTATTATTATTATTATTATTATTATTATTATTATTATTATTATTATTATTATTATTATTATTATTATTATTATTATTATTATTATTATTATTATTATTATTATTATTATTATTATTATTATTATTATTATTATTATTATTATTATTATTATTATTATTATTATTATTATTATTATTATTATTATTATTATTATTATTATTATTATTATTATTATTATTATTATTATTATTATTATTATTATTATTATTATTATTATTATTATTATTATTATTATTATTATTATTATTATTATTATTATTATTATTATTATTATTATTATTATTATTATTATTATTATTATTATTATTATTATTATTATTATTATTATTATTATTATTATTATTATTATTATTATTATTATTATTATTATTATTATTATTATTATTATTATTATTATTATTATTATTATTATTATTATTATTATTATTATTATTATTATTATTATTATTATTATTATTATTATTATTATTATTATTATTATTATTATTATTATTATTATTATTATTATTATTATTATTATTATTATTATTATTATTATTATTATTATTATTATTATTATTATTATTATTATTATTATTATTATTATTATTATTATTATTATTATTATTATTATTATTATTATTATTATTATTATTATTATTATTATTATTATTATTATTATTATTATTATTATTATTATTATTATTATTATTATTATTATTATTATTATTATTATTATTATTATTATTATTATTATTATTATTATTATTATTATTATTATTATTATTATTATTATTATTATTATTATTATTATTATTATTATTATTATTATTATTATTATTATTATTATTATTATTATTATTATTATTATTATTATTATTATTATTATTATTATTATTATTATTATTATTATTATTATTATTATTATTATTATTATTATTATTATTATTATTATTATTATTATTATTATTATTATTATTATTATTATTATTATTATTATTATTATTATTATTATTATTATTATTATTATTATTATTATTATTATTATTATTATTATTATTATTATTATTATTATTATTATTATTATTATTATTATTATT